GGAAAGAAACAGGATGCCTACCGCCGCCACGCCCGAGAAATCAGCTCTTTTGGGGTAAGTTCCGCTGCATACAATCAAACACCATAGTCTCGCGCTGTTGAGTATGATACAGACGTAGATAGCTGTCCAAGTAGATCTCGCGTAGACTCGCGTAGACTCGCCTAAACTCGCGGTAGACGATCGAAGCGACCTGTACGTCACGCGTAATATCCATTGACATCCGTTGAAGGTTTCATAGGGTTTTCAGGTCTCGTAGAGACAGAATCGGCATTGACCCCGATGCCTGCAAAGCCGAGTGATCGTCTCGGTAATTGGCAGCTTCGTTATTAAGAGTGGCAACGTTATTGCTCCTTTTCACAAGTACAGACAAGCGAAGGTTCGCTTTCGATAATCGACGAGCAACGTGAGCCGCGCGAGTGTGTGTACACACGTGTCTCTTCCGTGGAAAAATCTAGAACGATCGCTTCCCATCGATTTTGTATTTTTATATACACCCGTTTCCTTCTTTCTTCGCGCTTTTTCCCCTTCTTTCTCTATTTCTTTCTATTCTTTTCACCGGCCTTATCGTAATTCCCCGAAGCTGTAACGCGAAAGCGAATCGATAGGATGCATTAACTCGTGCCCGAGAGGAATGAAATTGTAATGGCGAACCATTGCGTGCGACCTATTTCTCCCGACGTTTATCGAGTGACCGTGTATCGTTTTCGTTCTACGGAAAGTATATTTTTGATTACACCGTGGGCCGGGGACTGAAAAGGTATCTGGAGCAGAGTTTTCCGCGCAGGCGGTTATTTTCCTCCATTTTCCAGCGGCACACTGGAATTCCCGTGGCCGTTTACACGGGACGAACTTCAACGAGCAGCTTCGTTGCACTCTTTGTCGAAATTGCACGGTCGTGGAAAGTTGCCGCGAAAGTTTCCCTCTTGTCGCGATTACGTCTCTCGTTTAAATGTAAATTCCAGGCATAATTAGAGTTCTCAAATATTATCTCAACTTCCAAGGTTCCAGCAGGACCATCCACCTCGAACACGCGTCACGAGTTCGCCGAACCGCGTTCCCTTTAATTCGAAAAACTTCACCCGGAGAACTTCCGCCCCGGAATTAGCTATTACCCGCGAATTAAGATCTCGTTACACACGGAGTCTCCCATCGGCCAAGTTTTCGCCATCTTTCCGGGAATGGAAAGGCTATCTATCCCCCCCGGTGACAAGAGGAGTGGATACGAAACGCAGATGCTGAACGCGACGATTTTATAATGAAATTCGCGTTACGTAATCGCCGGAAATACGCGGTTTGCACTGGCGTACGCGCCGATCCGAGCCAAGGGCTGACTCGATGCTCGACGTGACGTTAAATTTCTAATTCCGTGGTCACGTCGCATTGTTCCCGCGTAATTAAACACCGAGAATTATACTTTTGCCCGTTTGGCAAGATGCTGAGCGACTCGGTCGAGCTCGCTGTCACGAACGATTCCGCTGTCGAATATATCGCGAATCTCGCACGTTTCGCAATTTGTTGTCGTACAACCGACACGTCCCGTCGTAATTAATTCAATTTCGAGACGAGCTCGCTCTCGACGCCTGCTACCGGGGATACGTGATCAACTGGGCGTCATCTTGGCCGGCGGCGAGAGGAATTTCGTGCCGATCGGAACGGCCAAGAACGATCGCGTCGATGGAGAGATTGGTCTTCGGGATTTAACGACCACTCGCCCGACGACCACGTGAATCGCCATTTGTTTTTCTCTGTTGCAACGAAATTGGGCAATCAGACAGACTGGCGCCCTACTTCCACTCGCGGCCGCTAAACTTCCTCCTAATCGATCTTCGCTGCGCGGCAATTAACGATGAAATTAGGATTAATTACGGACCATCGCGAAGGGGAACAGCGTGTTCGAGATTACGTCGCTGCATTCGGAAATATTTACTCGTAAATAAAAGATTCTCGCGCGGTATGGAAGGGAACGGAGAACTCGAGGAATATCGATCAACGTGGTATTTGTGTCACAGGCTTGTGATAGTTGACAATGCCATGTGTCGGTTAAGAAAAGTTAACGTTGCAGACATCGAGGCGAAAGAATTTCAACGTATACGTAGAACTTGAGGAATATTTCCTTCAACTAGGATACTCCAATTTCCTCCGGTATTTTTAGACGTCCACGATATACTGTTTTCCATTCGCTCTTTTTAATCCGTTTGTCTGCGAGTCGAAATTAAATTTCACTTCGTACTTAACCCTTTTACTGTCAGCCCCAATTACGCGGCACATGGGAAAAATGAGAGCAGAATTCTGCCATTTGTTCCCATCCAGTTTCGAGAATTCGATCGTGTTCGCTGTATTTAAACGCGAATAAATGTCTAATTAATAATCTGGACTTGAACGAATTTATATGGACTGGTTCACGATGAAATGGTCAATTTTTTGGTTCCAATTGAGAGGAGGAAATAATCTTTACACGCATGCTCATTTTTCCCTGACATTCATTCATTCCCGCGATGCAGTTATACGAAACGTACGCGGTGACAAACGGTGTTAGCAGGACATTAAAATATAAAAGCTCCTTGTGACACCGTGAACTCGTACGTCATTTTGTTCTACTTTCGCTGAAAATTCGTTTTCGTGCCACTTGGCAACGCGCCGGGGATTCACCTGAATTGCACGGTCCTCGGGATTTAGCTCAATTTCCGACTCGATAAAAACAATGCACCCATTTCTCTCCGCCTCTCTTTCGCTCTCTGCGCTTTTCCCAGTAATATCGCGCGATCGAGGAATCGGAATATCCGAAATCGAGGCTTCCAAGATAGCCAGCCGCTCGTCCAGAATATCGATTCGGGTTTCGTTGCATTGCGCGTTATTAAAATGCTAGAAATATCGACACGAACGCGAAATTACTCGATACAGCGACTCGATCATGACGTGTCCGGCATCGCGTTCACTCGATCGCGGTGATGCAAGGTGTAATAAAATCGCATGTCACTCTACTCTTTTAGAAATGGTCGCTGCAACAAGCGCAACGCGCATTCGCGAGTCGTTAACTGTTAACGGAAATATTATTGTTGAGATTTGCATACTGTACATCCGGAAGATACACGAGTATCTCGAAAAATATTTTTGGATACCGTGAAACATTAACACTTCGACTGCCGTGCACTTTTTAAACGGTACACTCAGGGAGCCACGATAAAATTTCAATACAATAATGAATTATCAAACAAAATGGTGCAAATTATTAATGTCTTCTATTCAAAGTTCTCTATTTATTTACGGTCTTTAAATATTCGAAAATTGGTTAGAATGAAACGAATATAAATTTAAAAAATTGGTATCACCGGACACTAGTGACCACCATGGCTCCAAACACCGGTCACTGATGACCACCGTGGCAGTCAACGTGTTAAAGGGACGTACAGTGGCAATATTCCTTTGCGACTATTAAATTTTCTAAATTTTTAATCGTACATATTCCCACAGCTGATGTAAAAATATTCGCAAAACACGATCTTTCGCATCGGCTATTATCTGGGTGTAAAGTTTCAAAGCTGACATACTGTCAGGCAGTTAGTGTTACCTAAAGTACACTGCGATTAGGTTACCCTGTCGGACTTTGTATCGATGGTTCCAGAGAAAACGACAGCAAGTTTGTACCTAACAGTTGATCCGTTTATAAACACGAACGATCGTCGTTTGGAGAAAGAATCTGTAATAAAAGATATATATACACGTCCGTTTAACAATTGAACTATGACCATCACGGGGCTATTCAGGACCATCGAGGAATCAAATAAATGTCAGCGTGACATTCCGCGATATTTTTCCCGACATTTATTCGTGAAATACGTATACTCTATATGAAGCCACTCGCTGCATTCTACCTCGATCGTGGTTGTCTATCATTAACCGTAATAGAAATTCGACATTATCCGCGACGCGTTTCAATCCTCGCGAAGAGAGCACTCTTTACAGCCTGCAAACTTCAATAGCGTAACGTATATACCCACGTTGCATAATTAGCGAGTGCGCATGGACATAGACAAGTGCGGACGAAATAGTCGAAAATTAGAACAAAGACCCGAGCGACGTCCAGGAGCACAGGCACGCAGTAAGGTAACGAATTGTTGTGAAATTACGGCAGATGCATGGTATGACGATGTTTAATATTTTTCGTCTTTCCGTCACGATGGGATGCATTTTTCCTACGGCCGAGGCCGATTTTCCTGCGGAAGGAAAATTTTACAAACCGTGCTCTGCATTGTCCGTAGACACCCAGCTGTGTGTCCTCCTCTCCGAGAAAGTAAGCCCGACACGAATCGAGAAAGGGATGTAAATCGATCTATCCGAGCCGGCCTCGTCTTACGCGAATCTCTGCCACGACCGTGAGCACACGGGAAACTGGCTGGCGAAAAATCTGGTGTGCAGCTCGGTTAATCGATCGGTAAAAAGGATACGAACGAGATATCGAATGACGAGGATATCGAGTGTTCGTTCGCGGTGGTTAGCTCGGCCTCTGGCGGCCACCGATCGGATGCTTTCTCGCGGATCCACCATTTTCTTTTCCTCGCGAGGCGTCGCGTACCTGGCGTCGCGTCGGGTACCGTAAATCGTACACCGCTGCTTTTCTAACCCGCAACGATTTTTACACATCTCGGCTTATCCTTGCAGATTTAAGCCGACTCGGTTCTACCGCCACTCTCTCCTGCGTTCGATTATTTATTCCTGCCCGCCGAGTATATACCGGTACATCGTTCAGCACGTATGTAAATATAACGCGACCGATGACTAACGAAGCTCATTAATATTATTCGCGTCGCGAATTCCGCGCAATGTGACAGACATTTAACCGTAATAAAAGATAATCGTAAGCGATTTCGGCCCGCGTACCGTTTTAATGGGTCCGTTATCTGTCTCGGCATGGCCGTTCATCTAGCCGCGAATTTCGATCGAGTTTGAATGAAATTTAAATTCGAAATTAACTTCTGAGAAACCAGGAGTCGCGCGTGCTACCCGCGCTTTAATTTGCACGGGGTTTGGAGCGGATATTAAGCGGGTTCCAAGCG